TGTGTGTGTGTGTGTGTCCTCATTTCACTGCTTTGCATTCACCAGAAAATGATCCATGATGTATTACAAACTATTATTACGAAGCAATTGTTAATGCGTTTATAAAGTCTACATTATGGTTACTGTAGAAACACAGCACATATTTCCATCTATATTACTGTAAAATAATTACTGTATGCTACTGTGAATTCACTGCAATGTAATTAGTAGCCTGTAATTTACTGTAAAAGTACAATAATATCATTTACAGTGTTGTTTTACCTCCAAAGTGGGTCTTTATTTGTTATTATAATAGTTGAGACACACAAAAATGCTTTATATGTGCATTTTTTTATGTGTAAAACCGAACGACAAATGTATATTTGGGGCATGTGTGGGCACTTCCAATACATTTTAATGCTTGATTTTAGGTTTAATTCAGAATTCTGTATTATCTTCATATGGTTTGTTATACTGTATAATGTATTTAAACTATTTTGAAGTATACTCTGCACTTCAGCGTTCTCAACACGCCACTTCAGTACTTCTTTTACCCTTTAGGTCTGCTCACTGTAACGTCGGGGGATGAAGGAGTACTGACTGCCTCCTGTATCTTCTGAGTAACGCAACGTCACTCTGTCTCACACTAACATGGTGCTTTGTGGTGAGTGACACATGAACGGGCGGTCCACGTGCACACAGCCGTGCACCCTACACATAAACAAACAAGCTCACACAGACGCCGGCGTCAGCGTCACGTGGTCTTCCTCTTTGGGTTAAAATTCCAGTTATGTGCTATTTATAGCACGCTGACGGCAGAGTCTCGTTCAGTGTTGATGGATTTCACGAAGCGTGTCAGCGTCTGATGAGCTGTTTATCTGCAGGTATTACACAGTAAAGTGTGTGTGTGTGTGTGTGTGTGTTACTGCTGCACTGTACTACCTATCATAGTATTGGTTTAACATGACCTGGAATAACATTAACTACGGAAGTGTGAAAAAAACCTCTTTTCTGCTTACAATGAGAAAGATAAATCAGATAACGGCATAAAGCTGAACAGGCATGATGCAGTCTATCAATCTTTCACTAAGGCCCTATAAAGTCCTCCACGGCTCATTAACAGATAAAAAAGAATAAATATAAAAAAATATCTGAGTTTGCAGCCAACTGACATCACAAAGGAGGATCCTGAACTAAAATAAATCTTAAAACAGAAGTTGGAGCACATATAATGAGAAAGGTTTCTTGTTGTAACCATCGACTGATATCCTGTTATAATACCAAGTTTCTTGATCAAACAAAAATATGACTGGTACTTCTACCGATATCATAGAAATATAAATCAGTACTGGTTTATAATACGTAGAAATTGCAGTATAGAAATGATTCTGTCAGTCAGAGGTGATTAAGAAGACATTATTATGTTTGCACACAGCTGTAAAAGGTATCAGTATTTGTCTGAGGGAATCTTATCGAAGTCCTTTAACATTTATCTTAATGTGAAAAACAAACACTCATTGGGCCGAGCCTCAGTGTGACTTGTAAATATGCCCCTCGCTATTTTTTTTAAATCATTATCCCGGGAAACTACAATGATTGGTCAGATTTGCAGAAAAGTTCAAGGTCATGCAGATTTCCAGAGATCGTCGCGATCACAACGTCACAACTTCCTGGAAGGAAAAAAGGCCGAAAAGATGAATCCATTCTAGGAAGAAAAGATTTCTTTACTACGCAGCACATCACGCGACTTCCAGGAGAACGGCTGTGAACAGTGTCAAATTACTCAAACACAGGAAGTCTACCAGCGGACCGGGCCCGAACATCAGGAAACACTCATCTCTGTCATGATGTCATGGCAACGCACATACGCAGCACCCTGAATGAAAAGAGACAAAGTTCCATCAACCATTATCATTTAAGTTCAGTGTAGAGGACAGAGAAGTTACTGGACTGAAGCCAAACATGTAAATCGAACACAAATGGCTGGTCGTCTGTTGACACTGTGAACGCTGCTGGATCTGTCCCCGCTCGCTCCCGACCGGGCAGGAACCGGGCAGGAACCGGGCAGAAACCGGGCAGAAACCGGGCAGGAACCGGGCAGAAACCGGGCAGGAACCGGGCAGGAACCGGGCAGGAACCGGCGCCACTGGTCGCACACAGTCAGCTACACTGCCTGCATCTGTTGCGACTTGAAGGATCTGAAAACAAACCTCAAGGAGCTGGAACCGCGGAGCAAATGGAGGAAAGAATGACTCATCTGAGCAATAAAACAGGCGGCGGCAGGAGCTACAGAGGCTGCGCGAGGAAAACGCACGAGGAGAAACATGAAGGAAACTCTGACCTGGTAAAACTCGAGTGACAACACGACAGTCATCCACGTGAAGTAAACAGGAAATAATGACCAACATGACTCAGACAGAACTGAGGGATAAAAGTCGAAGCAGAAACAGACGTGAAACAGAGAGAAGTGTAATAAAGGCTGCTGGATAAGAAGACGTGTATGAATAAATAAATGTATTTGTATCAGAGTGACAAAGCAAGGAAACTGATTCATTTCCTCAAAAAGACAAAAGAAAACTGGGAACTCTTTACAGCAACAATTGCATTTTTCAGAGAGAAAGGAGGGCAAAGGTCTCTTAAGGTCATTCTCTCATCAGCGGAAAGCTTCAGTTCAGTTCACCCTCTTCCTTCCAAATCCCTCCCAGCGGCTCACAATGACTCTGAGAACCACTGACTCTTGTACTGGTTCTAACGTATTGAACTTAATGTTAATGTTGCGTACTGGAGACGCTGTGATAGATGTGGTATTATCACCCCAAATGACCACGTTAACCTTAAAGCTCACTTGCAAGCACACAAAAACAGAGCGAATGAAGGAAGGAGAGCTAACGGGGTTTTCTTTTTACACCTTCCCAGACTGTTTAACTGCTGTGTAATGTCTTCGCAGTGAATCTCATGAAGCCTGCAGACTTATGGATGCATTACGCAAACCGGCCTCCCTGGATCGTGTTTCATGTGCCTGCAGCAACACGCCCACACCGAGCCCAGACGGTTGCATTAACACGCAGCGCTGTTTTCAGTCTCAGTGCGCGGTAACCTCCCGAGCAGAGACAAACACAAGCTTTCTGTAGGGGAGGTTCAGTAGGAGAGGCTGGCAGCTCTCTGTCGAACTGCTCTGGAACACGAAGTGCTATTAACGTCGTTACGTGACTCACAGCTGAAGCACTTGGGCTGGTTCGACATTCTCCAGGTTCAATTATCAGTACAAAAGATTAAGGAACTGAAGAAAAAGTCGAAGGTA